TTTTCAGCGTCACTCTGAGACAGGATATTTCTAATTTTAGAGATGTTGCACAAATGGAAGAAAGCAGTCTTACATATTTGTTTAATATGTGCGTTGAAGGACATAAGACATAAGAGCCGGAAATTCCATCACTAGCCGACATGTGTGATGTCGGCTAGTGATGGAATTTCCATCACTAGCCGTCACTGATTCTGGAGTTTCAGAATGAGCTTTGTGTTTATGCTCATTTTGTGTTAGATTCTGAAGTTGTAGGTTTTATCTCTCTCCAAACAATATTGACAGAACCAGCAGCCAAAAAAGATCCAAACTACGCTTCACATAAACATCATCATGAATTCCCTCTGACTTTTGCTTTTTTGCTTCCACCACAAAAAAAAAAAAAAAAAATTGCACATCATGCAGAGCTCATTGTCTCTCTCTCTCTCTGTACTTCAAGAACAGTTTCCCATCTAAAAGTCTAAAAAATGTTTTAAAAATCTGTTTTCTGTGGAGGACCACAAGAGCCACGCACATCGAGATAAAAACTTCTATGCTTAAATGATGAACTGTAGAATAAAATCTGCATTTGTAAATTCATTTTTGAATTCCATTTTTATAAACTGATTTTTTAAATGCTTTTTAATAAACTGCATTTCAAAATCCATTTCCCCTTTCCTGTTCGCTCAGGGATTAACTTTTGGATTAGCAACTTAATTTTAAAAATCCTGCTGCTATTCAAATTAGCAACACAGTGGAATGTAAGGAGATCTCTGATTGGTTGGAAAGACAAAGGCTGTATAATAATAAATAAAAAATAATAATAATAAAATATTAAATAAGAAGAATTAAATAATACAAACAACCCAAGACAGTGTGGAGAGATTTAATGAAACTGTACAGAGGTACACATTCATCAGTCATGGTTAAATGAATACAAAACTATTTATGGGACAACTGAAACACAAGTCATGCATGTATATCAAAAATAATCATATTCTGAACATTATCATTTTATTTCAGTGATCAAACTGTTAGAGTCATCTTCCTGTCTGCAAGGCAGTTTGCTGGTGAATCTTTGGTAATTGTGTTTTATGACATGGAACCATTTGCAATCCACCAGCTAGTTGTTATAAAAACATTAAGAGCAACAGCAAAACTTCAGGTAAAAATCTACTTCAAAGTTTGTTTGTTAGTTAGTTTGTTAAAAGAAATACATTTAAAAAAAATACACGCGATACAGACAAAACGTCACCTGACAGTAAAAAGCACCACTCGGTAGGCTGGTTCACGAGTCTTTATGGCACAGTACTCTTTTGGTTTCTAGTGTCCAGAAACCCAACTCAGGGGATGCAAAGATAAACCATCTGTACATTTTTCTTAGTTCATATTTCATTCGAACACTATATTTTCAACTTAGAGACGTACATTTAAATTAATAAACACAGAGTACTATTTATAAACTGACATCAGTAAATAAAGCACATTTCCTCTAATCCACTTCTCTGGTCACTGTCTCAGTTTCACTATCAGTCAGTTCTTCTTTGCTTCAGCATTAATCGTCATATCTGATAACCTGCAGTACAAACATGAGCTCTAACTGTGAATTTGAAGAAAGATGAAAGTAAAACTCAGGCTCATTCAGGTTCTATCTTTTTTTGAGTTTTGGAATTGAAAACCGCGATCTTCACTGGTGGAGAGGTGAAATGATCTAGTAGTTAGTAGAGGTGCCAACCGTCCCTTAAAAAAACAGAATCGTCCTGAGGAACTATTACGGGTTTCGTATTGAAGTGAAAAGGAACAGTTTGTCCCGTACTTCAGCTAGAATAGAAAAAAAAAGACACAAAGCTGGAGCTATTCTGTGTCTTTACGCTGTCAGCTGCCTCTTCTTCTCTCATTCTCTCCCCCTCCCTCTCCTGTTGCTACTTCAATCATGAAACTGATCAATGATCAGCTGATTGGCTTTTCTGTCACAAGTCCCGTCTCTCTTGTTTGTTTATCTCCCAATTTCCGCCAGAAACAGGTTTATCTTTTAGGTGACATGAATGAGTTGAAGGGAAGTCATGAACTGTTTCTGGGAGACAAATAACATCAGGATCTTTTTCTGTGTAGTTAACAGCTGGTAACTGTGCAGGGGCGGGTCTAGCAAAACTTTGCCAGGGGGCAGGTAGGGCATTAACAGGGAGAGGGGGGCACAAAGAAATACTTTTCTTTCTTATTCTCATTTAAAATTTCTAGTTTTTAATAAATAATTATCTGAATCTTACAACCAAAGTTTTTATCTGATATAAAATATATAGAAATCATACTTATACCAACAAGACTGTACATCACTGTGACAGCAGCGTTTGTTTTCATTCAAAGGCTTTATGCCTTTTCCTATAACACCTGGTGGGCCGGTCTCTAGTCAAAATGCCCTGGCTGATTTTTTTTGTCACAGCCCATCCCTGTCTAAAGGTGTGAGAGAAGAGTCAGTCAGACATACAAACTGGATCACACAGAGTCTACGTCCACACAGTATTTTTTAAAACAGAGATTTTCGGTTTTATTTAAAAAAAAATAAAAAATCCCGTCCACACGTGCAGTTTTGAAAATAAATATATCCGTCCACATCTAAACACCAAAAATGTGAACGCTGCCAAGGACGTGCCAAATCCTAGTGGTGTAGAAATTTGGGCCAATCAGAAGTGCAGAAGCCTGGGAATGGAAAAAGTAAACAGGGTTTTATGCAAACCTTAAGTACTTCTGTATGTATGTTCTGTATGTATGTTACTATTCAAGTGCTTTTATCATCTCAAATGTTAACAACCAAATTTGTGCATACACAATTTTTTTTTTTTAATTACATTTATTCCCAACCAGTGACCACATTAGGATTTAGGTTGTGAGAGTGTCTGTTTTGAATGAAGAAGTTCACTCTGCGCACAACTTTGATATTGTGTGAATAAATCTCAGTTTTCCTCATCCACACATAAACACAAAAGCTTTCAAAAATTTCCACCCTGGCATGAGTTTTTAAAAATCTCAGTTTTCAGTGATTGAAAATGCCATTTACATGTGAATCTAGAAAAAGCTGTATTTTCAAAAATACCTGTGTACGTGGCCACAAATCTGCATGTAATTTGAATCGAACATTGCTGAGAGGGACGGATGTGCATGATGACTTACCTGCCAGCTCCTCTCCTCCATTTAACATGAAGTGTTTTCTTTAGTAGTGAGTGGAATATATTCATGAGTCCTGGTCAAGAGAAGACAGAACAGACAATCAGGAGGAAACAAGCAAAAAGATCAACATATGTAACATTGCTATTTCCAGTTTGACACCAAGAACCAACCAATGAATCACTTGATTACACTTAGATATATAATATAAATAAAACAAACTTGATCAGTAAAGAATTCAGTAAAGATTGAAAGAAGGATGAACGACGCTTTCAGTATTCAGGTTCTGATGTAAGTTGAGGTTTTAGCAAAATTGGATTTAAACCTGCAGGATGTGCGCTGAGTTAAAGATTCATTTTAAATGGTCCAGCTCCAGTCTTTACATTTCACACCAACTTTACAACAGCCAACAAAAATAAAGACAGAGGAAGACGACTTTACACAGCGGAAGAAGGTCCATCAGTCATGGGTTTTTTCTTATTTCTGAAGCCTTGAAACCGCTCTGTAAAGCTTGCACCATGTTTTCCTGCAGAGGAAACAGACAACATTGATTCAGAGTCTCATTTAACTTGTCTTCAATCTCTGGTGCGAGTTATCAAGAATATTTGAAACATCGGAATCAGGACTGCAACCATTACTCAGTGATATCAAAGAAAACTATGAGAAGCTATTCCTCATTATAAACAAAGGGGAATTACAACGTTACACTGTAAAAGACAGCATTCAAATATTGTTTTGATTTATTATCAGTTTCAGGATAAGTCTATTATGTGAATCTATTTCTGACCCATCTAACACTCAACAGAAATGGACGCTTACTGTTTTCACAGCAGTTCCTCCACTAAAGTAGCAGAAGGTGGAGGAAGCTGCATTTACTGACCTCTGTGATGCATTTACTGACCTCTGTGATGCATTTACTGACCTCTGAAAGTAAGCGTCACTCCTTTCTGTCTCAGGATGTCTTCACCCTGGGAGACTGTGCACATGTAGAAACCACTGTGGGTGTTTTGGGGGTCTTTCAGGGTCAGACTGAGGTCTCCAGTCCTCAGTGGCTCTTTATTCATCTCTGTGCGACCTCTGTAATCCTGTCCCTGTTCTTCTAGCTGGTTTTGGCCATCCTGATAGGTGTGGACTGTGACTTTGGAATCACCACGCCTCCACTCGACTGTGACATCATCGGGTAGACCAGGAGTGGTTTTAAAGGGCAGCAGCACAGACTTCTTCCCCTTTGTTACTTCAAGTATTTCCACCTTGTAGTCTGATAAAATACAACATGAGCTGTAAATACAGACACAAGTTATACATTTACTGACCTCAGATAAGTTTACTGACCTCTGATAGTGAGTATCACTACTTTCTGTTTCAGGATGGCTCCATCTTTTTTGTAGACGGTGCAGGTGTAGACTCCACTGTCAGTAAGTTGAGGGTAATTCAGGGTCAGACTGAGGTCTCCGGTTCTCAGTAGCTCTTCATTCATCTCAGTGCGGTCTTTGTAGTCCTGATGTTGCTCTTCATGCTTCTTTTGGTGGTTCTCATGCATGAGGACCTTCATATCTTCAAGGTCTGAACGTCTCCACTCCACTCTGATGTCCTCAAGCAGGTGAGCTGTGGTTTTGAAGGGAAGCATAACACGCTTCACCCCCCGTGTCACCTCCACTGTCTGAAGCTCGTAGACTGAAGAAAGTAGAAGATACAGAAAGACACACGTTATGTTCTGCAGTTGATATTCAAATCAGTTTAGTTTATTTGCTTTACAAGGAAAGTAAATCTACAATACCAAAAAAGATAACTACACTGATCAGATAACCTCCTGTGACCAACACATGTGAAGCAAAATGATCTTTTAAAAGAAGAGACTATCAATAGAAACAGGATCAAGGAGGTGTAGCCATCTATTTGGTGGTGAGGGCTTAGAGGAATAAGATCAGAGAGACCACACATAACAAACAGACAGTGTTGGGGAGTAACGGAATACATGTACCGCCGTTACGTATTTAAAATACAAAATATGAGTAACTGTATTCCGTTACAGTTACCGTTTAAAAAGGTGGTATTTAGAATACAATTACTTTGTTGAAATAAATGGATTACACGGCGGTACTTCCCTGTTTCATATTGTGGCGGGGCAGGACTGTTTGGGTTTTGTTTGACAGCTACGTTCTGTTGTTCCAGGCGGCAGCGTCACGGTTGCCATGGTTACAGGGTGACGCTCTCTCTCTGCGTGTTTCCTGGGTGAGAGAGCGCTTTTTTGTTGTTGTTGTGCTAAGCTAACAGGCAGAATGCTACAGGTATAGCTCTAAAGAATGTAGCATCATGGGCAGTGTAGTCCGTGCTGCAGGGAGAATGGACTGTCATACACGTTATGTGTCTGTGAGCGAGGGAGGGAGAAAAAGGAAAAGTACGAGCTGTCATCGAGCAGAAACGGGAGCTGGAAGCATGTAAATATAATAATAACCACTGCAGCCAAGAAGAGAGCCTGACGAGCCCAGCTGTAAGTAAGCTATTAAGACTCGACTGTACACCGTGTTCGTGTTTTCCTCTGAAACAATAAGTTCCATTGGAGCAGCCTTTCAACGCCTCTCTCTGTCTCTGCTAGCAAAGTTGACCCAGACAACAAAGTAAAGCTAGTTTTCGGCTACGAGCCGACACAGAACCCACCGTATTAGCCAGAGGTCCCTTTACTACGGTTCGGAGCCGCGGACCTTCAGTAACAGTAATAAATCACAGCAATAGTACATTCATGTAGTTGTAAACAGCATGATAATATATTAAGTAATCCAAAGTATTCAGAATACGTTACTCTCATTGAGTAATATAACGGAATACGTTACAGAATACATTTTGGGGCATGTAATCTGTATTCTGTAATGGAATACATTTTAAAAGTAACCTTCCCAACACTCTAAACAGGACAAAATCACAAACTACAGCAGAGAGAAGACAAAGTTCATGACATGAAGTAGTGGTGTATCAACATACAAGAAGTGAAATAAATAACAAAGATCTTTCGTTTTATATTCTCAATGTACTTCTCAGAACGGACAAACAGAAAATGCAGATAATAGCAATAACCCATAATATAAAGATGAATTGAATATTTATATTTATATGTGCAACAGTGCAGAGTGATTGGTGTTTGATATGAGAATATGTCTTGGAGACCTGGAACACCTAAACGTACACTATCAGTCTAAAGTTTGGCCCCACTTTCACATTTAATGGTTTGTTTTATTAATTTCTACATTGTAGATACTGAAGACATCAAATATATGAAGTAAGAATTATGTAGCCAAGAATTTCTTTTTAATATATAAATCTAAATATATCCCATATTTTGATACCTTATAATAGCCAACCTTTATTTTGTTGACCATGGCTTTCTCTCAATACATTATGTTACATAATACATTATGTTATGTTAATATGAGCTTTATGATCACATGAAATGGTTTTCACTCACAACTATGCCTTGTCAGGGTTCATTTGTGGAATTAATTGCCTTCTTAACCATCAGTTATGTTGTGCAAAAGTCAGGTTGGTACACAGCTGACAGCCCTATTTGACAACAGTTAGATTTCATATTATGGTAAGAACCAATCAGCTATGCAAAGAGAAACGACAGTCCATCATTACTTTAAGAACTCATGGTCAGTCAGTCCGGAAAATTACTAAAACTTTACATGTGTTCCTAAGTGCAGCTGCAAAAACCTGTTAAGTTTTCAGGCCCCTCTTCTATGGAACCAGCTTCCAGTTTGGATTCAGGAGACAAAAGCTATCTCGTCTAGTAAAGGCTAGACACTAGATTCATATTTTTCATACAGTCAATGGAGTCTAGAGAGTTGACAACAGGAAATGACAACATACCACAGCCTCTGTGATGTCTTTACTGACCTCTGACACTGAGCACCACCACTTTCTGTTTTAGGACTTTTCCATGCATGCAGACAGTACAGGTGTAGACTCCGCTGTCAGTTAGTCTGAGGTCTTTCAGGGTCAGACTGAGGTCTCCGATTCTCAGTGCCTCTTTGTTCATCTCTGTGCGACCTCTGTAAATCTCGTCCTGTTCACCGGAAAGGTGCTGGCTGCTCTGAAACATATGAACTTTCCTGTGTTTGGAGTCTGAGCGTCTCCACTCCACTGTGGCATCCTGTGGAAGTTCATCTTTGGTTTTAAAGGGCAGCAGGACAGACTTGTTCCATTCTGTCACCTCCACCGTCTCCATCTGGCTCTCTG